AGCCCAGATCGCTTTTAAGAGACGCACAAACACATATGGAAAAGATGATGCTATTAGTTGTAACCAAGAAATGCCATTTCCCATTCATTTCTGTCCAGGAGCTGTGCCTTTTTCTGTTTGGTTTTTTTGAAGCTGCACTAGGGATTTGCAAACAGCAGTGCTAAATCTTCAAAGGGCAAATAAATACAGGGACCATTTGCTGCTTGCAGGCTCTGTGCACCAGCTTGTGGCAGAAATACCAGAACAGATGATCAGAGGCTTTTTTCCTTTTCTTTTAAGCAGAGCTCCTGACCCGTGCACTGGGCGGGGGGGTGAAATGATTCATTCAGGGGTTTTTTTGCAAAGTCTTGGGGGCTTGGCAGTGGTTTTCAAAGTATATTTTAGAAGGTGAGTCATCATACATTGCCTGCCTGTGTTTCTCTGAGTTTTGTCACAATAATTATGTCGTGGTTTTTTTCCTATTGATTATCAAAAACTTCACAGCAGTCTTTCTTTCAAACTCCCACCTGCATCTGAAAACTCGTATTTTAAAGTCATATAAATTACAAACTGGAGAAGGAACTCCTGCCCCTGGGTCAGACATAGCAGCTGGTATCATGCTGTGAGGCGCTACGGATGATACAGACATCGACCCAGCTGATCAAACGACAGATCGCCGAGCATTTATGCTGAAAGTCAGCAGCCGCAGATCCCCAGCTCTCCGTGGCAGTGTGAGGTGATGTATGTTGCCTGCCCAAACAGCTATGGCTCATGTGTACGATGCCGGTGTTCTAGCATGGAAAGTCTAACGAAAGCCTGCTGCTGCTCACCACCCAAAGGCAACATCCCCTCTATGCACAAATTGCACGTCGGTCTAATTCTGGTTTGATTTACACCAGTTCTGCACCCAGCTGACCCTGGGTGGCTACTCCCAGTTTACAGCGGTGCCACATGAGCTCACAAAACACCTAATCCAAGTGAGTGTGCCATTTCAGATTTCCATTATCTGATATATGTATCTCCACCGTGTCTTAAACGAGAATACTAATTGCCGGGTTTTCCCAGTGAGTGTAACTTGACCCGGGTCTCGGAAGCGAGACTATTCCTCTGATAAACCCTGGCTCTGGGCAGGGCTCTGCAGCCACGTTTCATCCGCGATAGAGAAATGCCGGCTGAGGGACGCGGCAGTAATGAAAACTGCCGCGGAGCTCTGCTCAGGTGGCCGGCCAGCCTCACCTCACACAGCTGCTGCCTGCAGATGCCTGGAGAAAGACAGACACGCGCAGATGAAGCAGACCTGCCTCTGGGACGGGCACTTCTGGACTGCAGAAACCAGCCTGCTGAATATGGGATGTAGAGCACTGAGCACAAACTGCACCCTTGTTAGTCAAATAAACATAGGATCTGATGCATACTAATTCAGATTACTGTGGAGGATCACCAAGCCTAGTATCTGCCTTCCAGCAGAGCTCGGAACCTGAACTTCAAAGGGAAAATAAGGTCCTTAGTCTGTGGCTTTGAGGGAAAATGCCTCTTAGACCCAGATACAGTGGGAGGTTTTATGACCTTTATTATACTATCACTGGCCACAAATGCTGGCTTTCTTTTCATACCTGAAGCAGGTCAAGGGAGGGGATTCAGTCCCTCTGCCCCGCTCTGGGGAGACCCCCCTGCAGGGCTGCGTCCAGCTCTGGAGCCCTCGGCACAGGAGAGACACGGACCTGCTGGAGTGGGGCCAGAGGAGGCCCCAGCAATGCTCCGAGGGCTGGAACAGCTCTGCTGGGAGGACAGGCTGGGAAAGCTGGGGGGGCTCAGCCTGGAGCAGAGAAGCTCCAGGGAGACCTTCCTGCAGCTGCCAGGGCTGAGGAGAAAAGTGGGGACGGGGCTTTCAGCAGCGCCTGTAGCGACAGGACAAGGGGTAATGGTTTTAAACTAAAAGAGGGCAGATTTCAACTAGATAGAAGGAAGAAATTTTTCACGAGGGCGGTGAAACCCTGGCCCAGGTTGCCCCGAGAGGTGGGAGATGCCCCATCCCTGGAAACATCTCAGGTCAGGTTGGACGGGGCTCTAAGCAACATGATCCGGTTGAAGGTCTCCCTGCTCATGGCAGAGGGTGGGACTAGATGATCTTAAGCTGTCCCTTCCAACGCAAAGATTCTATGATTCTATGTGTGCCTTTTTCCACATCTCTCTCCTCCAGAATTTATGACTTAAATCAGGCAAAACCCAAAGAGCTCTATAGGAGTGTGAGAAAATGGAGTGCAAGGAGGAAGAAAATGGTCAAAATGGTACCCAGGCATTTCAGCCCTATTTTATCATCTGGGGCTACATCAAGTGAATCTCTTTCTCTGGAGAAGCTTAGAGCAATTACATTTGTTCTATTTATTCTTCCTCAAAGGCTTGGAGATGAGTCAACAGAAAAAACTTTTAGGATGAAAAATTTGAAACTTGAAACAAGGCAATATCCCTGGACAATTTGTTCTGCAATCAGAACAGCATTCTCTTTCCTTACTGCTCTCAATCTCTAATTTAAAAAACAAAAAGAAAAAAAAATACGGTAACAGTCACATCTGCAAATACAGTCCCTTTCATTCTTGCTTGCAAGCTCAAGGAGCTATTTTGAGACAATACAAACATGCTTGTTTTCTAGAGTTCATTTCTGGTGAGAACATTCCTTCAGCTCTTGTCCAAAATTCCCAAGTGAGAGTAGAAGCTCTCCGAAAGCCTTGAACCAGCTCACTCATATACAGCACATGCATTAGAAGGAAATAATAACTCCACACACCTCTTTGAAAGACTTCTTTACCTCCACTAATGGATGCCAGTGAGCGATGGGCTTGCGTGGATATGCCAGCATCTCATTCCAGTGGTCTCTGCCCAGTCCTTCAGCACTGACCCCCACACGGCAAACACCAATAATCTCGTTGTGACCCACTCTGAAGAACAATAGGAAAGCAACGCAATTATCTCTCATGCAGACTGCACGTACACTGTCTAACGCAGACTTCTGACCCCATGTTATCGGAGTGCCATGAGGCACAGTACTAGTGAACGTGGGCTGTCCTGTCTGCATGACAGCAGTCAGAGCTCGTCTGCTACTGTCAGCACACGCACCCCCGGCACGGTGAGCCACTGCCGGTGCCGGGAGTAATTATAACAACAACTTCAAAATTATTTGAACTGTAGATCAGTCCAGATACAGAATCTGGAAGGATGGGTGATGTAGTGGTGTACAGCAAGAATAAGTACAAGTTCAGTGATGGATAATTCGTACACCAATCGCTGCTCAGAGTGAGACCATTCGCTATTCTAGATCGGGATGATGATTTGCAGGACAAGCAAAGAGCGTAGGGAACACAGTACTCACTCAAGAAAATGCCATAAAACAAAGGACCAGATTTACCATACTTACTATTCTAGCAGGTCATTTTCCATAACCATAAATAACAATGACACTTTAACAATAAATCACTAGAGACAGATTGACACGACAGAGCTGTGCAATCAAGGCCACGACACTAAGGAAAATGGCTACGGAGCAGGAAAATCTGCACCAAACAGGATGTTTTCCCCTTCAGCTTTCCAGAGCCTCCCACCTACCGATCGTAATCCATGACGGAGATAAGCAGACTGACTTGATCCATGTTCTCTGGGGGAATGTCAAAGATTATTGCTTCATTGTAAGTGGGATTAAGCGTGTTTTTCTTTATGGTGGTTTTCTTCTTCTTCAGTCTTCGCCCATCACAGAGCAAAGACACTTTGACGTATGGATCTGGAGAAGAAGAGATAGGAAAAGGCCTTCTGTTTATGGAGATTTATTTTCTTACCAGCACAATATAGAAACAGCATTATCAAAGGGTGGACTGCAAATTATCACGAGCCAAAGGCACTCCTTGAATGTACTTTTAGGAAAAGAGATGTCTGATTACCCACCGAACTCACCATTTCTTGTACTAGTGTGAGTGCTGACATGAGGTTCAGGCACTGGAGAACCAGTACTGCAGCCTTCTTTTGGAAAAAAAACTCAGCCGTTTCCATCAGTTTTTCTGTGATAAGGGTTTGCAAGTGTAAGAAGGCCCCATCTCAACCAAGAGGCCATATTCATCAGAAGATGGCAACGGGCACCGGGCACTTGGGCATTCTAGCTTGCGTTAACTGCATGGCCACAGACAACAAACACAGTGGTTTCTCTGAAGCAAACCGTAACTTTTTCAAAATTTGCCTAAGAGAGCAAAATGTAATGCAGCATTTTGACAATCCAAACAGGCACAGGGGGTTATTTTACAGGGATCCTTTCCTGCACTGCTTCCAAAACTGTCCAATTGCTAACATTGTGTAGCAGAGTTACAGTGAGTAGGGGAACTTTAAAACTCATTTTCCCAATGTCAGAGAGCAGCAGAAAGAAAAGGTATTAGGGCAGCGCTGCTTCACATGCTTTCCATGGCTGATCATGGCAGAATGCCCTCAAGTTACAAACAGCTTCTGTTTGCTGTAATGGCTGCTCAGGTGATTTCAATGCATTTTCAAGTAACAGTAAATGTGCAATGTGTTACTACAGGCAGGCTGAGTTGGCTTCATCTGAAGTCTCGGTTCTCAGACATTTCATATGGCATCAAGCTCCAGAAATGTTTTCTGAAAAAGCCATTTACTGTATTGTTACTGCCTTTTATACAAGTCACCAATGAAATTCAAATACTATGATGTTGAGCTCTGGCAAAGAAACTGCTTGTTACGTTGAAATCCAGAATACATGCATGCTGAATTTGCAAGCCAACTCTTTGGAACTGTGAATGCATACTGTCTTCAGGTGACTTTGATCCTAATGTTTGAGTACTGGCCATTGTACAGAGAGATGCACACTCACCAGGGATTTACCCAGGTGGCCCATGCTCCTTTCCTAATCTTGGGTGAAATCACTGATTCTGGCTGTAGGGGGTTATCTGATGGAGAACTCCCTACTCACATAAAACTGCTGGGGTCAGTACCTGTAACAGACCTGAAGCGTCCAACCCAAGAGATGCATCAGAGCTTTGACTCTGCAAACCCTCCCGTGGGGATGGGAAACCACTGGCAGTCTCCTTGAAGGGTATATTTAGGTATATAACCACCCTGCCTGGATTCACGCCCTTGGGAATGTGTTTAAAAGATAATTCTACTTCTAAAATTTTGTGCGTACTTAAAACATGGACAAAGCTTTGTCAGGTGTGTCAGTGACAACACAGCCTTGGCACCAAGAGACATATGCCCACTATCCACTGAGGCTGCCCTAAAGGAGGAGGAAGAAGTGTGGATGCAGTGGGGTCCTCCTCGGACACTGAGCACCTACCTGAGTAACCAGTGATATCCATAGCTTTGAGATTCCTGCATTTAATGACTGTTAAGGTGAGGCGACCTGCAGTTGGCAAATAACAAAGGGAAAACATGATCTCTCCCAGGTCCACGCTTTCCTTTAAGGAAACAGAGAACACATTATATTGCAAACATGCAAGAACCAGCTCGGTTGCCTCCACCCTCCACCACAATGCTTCGTGCAGGATTCGTGCAGCACCCACACTGAAACAGGCTTTTCTCTATCCTGTCATTTCCAGGTGAATGTGAATGACACTTTACTATACGGTGCTGCTGCAGAATTTATTCTCCAGTGTATCCCAACATTATTTGGCTAAAAATTAATATAGGGAACAGGAAAAAAAAGTGTGTCCAAATGCTACAGCTTCAAATCATAGTTAAGGATAATCTGCCACGGCCTCAGTATGTGCTTCCTATTGCAATGTTAGACCTAATGCACTCCTTGTTTCCTGCTCCACTGCTTACGCAGAAGTGAAGTGATGTCTAACACCAAATGAAGGCCATTAAGGAAATTTTATTAGTATCAAGTTGTGCTTGAATGTATGGTATATATCTTCTAGTGCCAAGTATGCGACATTAACATCTGCCGCCTCAAACGGAGAAATGCCAAACACAGAGTGAGATCACAGAGAGGTGAGACCTTAACATGCAGCGGTGCCATAATCCTCTGGTTGTGCACTGCAACAAATGCAATAAGTGACTTTCTACAACACGCACTGCCATGGTTCTGTAACGGAGGTTTACAGACGTCATCGGTGCCTAGCATTTCGGCAGAGAATGCAGATGGCTCCGAGGAACACGGTGATTTGCTCTGAAGTTGCGCTTGAATTACTAGGTAGTTACAGACCAGGGGCTCATAGCTTTAACACAGAAGAGAACCACGAAGGGCTCCATTTAGTACCAACTGAGCTTTTAGGCTGCGACATACTTACCATCATTTGGACCACTAACCTGTTTGAGATGCCTTCAAAAATCCAACACACACCGTATGAGGTACGTGTATAAATAGTGAATTAACCAGCAGATGGCACTCAGAAACATTTGGTAGTTTCTGGATTACGTAGAGGCAAATACAATTTACTCTTTAAGTGCCCCATAAAGCTACTTTTACACATAGGCCTTAGCACCTCTTGTACACGCAGCCGTACACTTCTTGTACACTTCCTACAAGCTCAATTCCACCATTGCCTTGCTCATGGCAATTCAGGACAAAAATTAAGCAAACCAAAAGTATTATTTAAACTAGAAAGCATTACCATCTGAAGTCAGCAGAAATATTTCCAAATACCTTCCAAAGATGGATTTAAAAAAAAAAAAAATCTTATTTTGTACATACAGATCCCACATCTGTAGATCAAACAACCCTTTTATTTTTGGAAACAGAGTGTTCATCACACAGTCACATCATTTCAATGTGATATAATGATCTGCTGAAAAGAAATTGTAGCTGTTAGTAGTAGAGTGATGCAACTAAGACAAGCAAATGCATTAAGCACTTAAAGCTTTGCTAAGTGTTAGGAGAATAGATCTTGCTGATGGATGAGATTTTTGCCAAATTATTTCCTTCTCATTCTCTGGTAAGGCAAAGATTAGATACTTATTCCACTTAGACGTGCCGAATACTAATGAACATTATGTAAATGTCTTGATTCTTGACAAGACTTCACTTGACTAGCAAATAAATTGAAAATCTTAAGCACAGAGCGTACAAAAGAAACAGTGACAGCCAAATGTCTCATGGACAGAGCAATATATGACTAGACTTGCAAGTATCTAAATAAACGTTGTTTCAGAAGGTGCTATTTGCTGGTAAATAAGAGTTTAATATTCTCACCCACTCAGAGTTCCCTCTCTGATCTCTTGCTCGCCTTAATGGCATCCTGAACAGCTTGCTTTGCCATGCTACCAGATGATCTCGAGGCACAGCCTCATTGTCAGTGACCAGTAATGAAATAGGTGAAAACATTTATTGAGTTATTATCCTTCTACCTTTAGTACCTCCTGATGTGTCGACTGGGAGCTAAATTTCTTGCCTTACAAAATATTACTAAAGGTACCTTATTAAAGTACTAGAATAATTTTCATCACACACAAAAAAGCTTTTAGAGTCCCTGCAGCTTCTAACTCTTGACTGAATTTCAGCTACGGCACCTTGAACATAACGGGTGCCCGAGTCAGGCTGCTGTCTTGGAGGTAGAACCACAATGAACACCACCACCACCGAGTGCCCCGAAACGTTCGGCAGTTTTACCTCTGGTGTCACCTGCACCCTGAGAGCTGTGCTGAGCTGCATTTCTTTCTGCCCGACTCCAACGCAGCCGATTTTCGGAGGACAGGAAGCTCAGAGTTTTACGAAGCCTCATTCATTTACAGTGTCTTAAAATGACCACTCAGAAATCATGTGCTCAAAATTACAATTTACTTTTTAAAACATAGCATTTCTCGTTACCTTTAGAGGTATTCTTCCTCTTTTAAGGCTAATTGCTTTACACAACAGGTGCCTGACTAAATAACTCTGTGCTGAGGAGGCACTTTGCACGGAGCGCCTGGAACCTGCTGCAAACACTGACACTGCATCAGAACTAGGCTTGAGGACTGGGATTGTACCCTTTCGCTTAAGTGTCTCCAGCTCCAGTCAGACACTGCACCTACCAGTCTTAGCTATAGACTTTAATGACAATAGAAAAGAATTTAAAATAAAAATTCTGAAATTATGATTAGAAATTATTGTTCTCTTCGCAAAGAAATGAGCACCTGAATCTCACTGTGTGCCAGCTGCACTGGATGCTGTATCTGCTGCACAGCACAACAGCAATTGGCATTCAGGCAACACACTGGGCTAGGTCTAATCTTCCACACATTCTTTCGTCTCTGTTGGTTTGGGAGGGACAAGAACAGGAAGCCTTGGACACAGATGTCAGAAGAGAGCAGACCTGTATGAGATTGTGAGAGCACCCTGTGGGCATCATCTCATCTTCTATTCCTCTCCTTGCACTGAGAGGACCTGTTCAGGGTATAAAACTAACATAAATTGTTTTTTGACTTCATTGTATTAGGTCAATGGATTTTTCTTTGCAACCATAAATACAGGAGAGTAAAACATGTCCTGTGGGTGCATTATTTTCTTGCAGGTTACAGACATTGGGACATTTCCAAAGTTCATATCTATACCTCTTAGGAAATAATGGAAGCTCTGAATCAACAACCTTTGCAGACTTGAAACCAAAAATGTTTCACTGATTCACAAGCTGTACAATCATTAATTAGATAGTTGAGTGCTAGATATTTGAATAGTTTATGTAATTGCTTAAGTGTGTTCCTATTGTCTTACCCACAGGATTGATCTAATGTATTGTCACCCAGGGCTTTCTTTGGGTATTATGAAAACTGTATTTACCCTTCTCATTTTTGATTAAACAGAAATGTCCTTGGGTGTGTTACAACTGCTGAGATGTACCAATATTGGCCCATTCCCAAAGAATGGCACAGAGAGAATGAGGGAATGGAGCCAAATGCGGCACTCAACGTTTCTGTGGAAGCTCTGCAAGGCTGATACACAATGTGTCTTGGGCATGATGTGCCCCCAGAGGGCTCTGCTCCTCTCACATCTTCTTTGGAGGCTTCTCCCTCAATAGCACTTCTGTTGGTGTCTCTCCACCTGTTTTTGTGCGGTTTTTTTCACATTAAATTAGTTTACTTAGTCAGCTAGGAAAACAGCCACTATTTCTTGCAGAACCATCCCAGCAAAACACAGAACATACACAGGCTAAAAACTGCATAACCTTTTCCTGCAGCTACATGTTCTATGTGGTTTTCCTCTTCTGCTCTCATGAGACCAAGTGTTAGTCCTTCCCAGTTTCCTTCTTCCTGCCCACAGGTCTTTTCCCTCCAAACTCTTCAGGCTTACCACACTCTTTGTATGCTGATCAGACAGCAAGGAAAGGGAAAATCCTTGCCACCACACAAGTGACTTCACCCCATGATTCAATCACAGCCAGCCTGGCAGAGCTGACTGCCACCTGAGTCTTCAGAGGCAGAGCAGATGCAAACGGGTAGATGCCTCCAAGAGGCATCCACACGTGTGATGCACCTTGCTCCTCTCCTAGCAACCCTTTGCCAAGCGCATGGATGTGCCTGATGCCTCTTTGCCAGCGTTTCTCCTTTCATCACCATCCATTAATCATAACAGATATGGCTCTGCACACACAGGTGCCACACACCATGCCACAGTACCACGCTGCAAACGTTCCCTGGGCAAGGACAACCCTCCAAAGCAGATACTCACCGTCGTTGCGTACTGAATGTCTTTCCAGATGGAAGTCTCCCGGGAAAGGTCTGAGGCCTCAAACAGGTTCTCCAAGATAACTTCTCCTATCATGTCGTGTCTGGAGAACCTGTCAAAGTCAAAGACGCTCAGGTGGAGCTTCCTGCTCACCAGCTCGTCATGGGGCACAGGGAAGTGGAAGGACTCATCAAAGGTGGGATTCAGAGTCTTCCTGTGGACTCGTGTCTGGAACTTGCGCTTTCTGTCGGGCAGGAGGTAGATCTTCACATAGGGATCTGAGCTGCCGCAGAAGTCTTTGGCCGGCAAGTCAAAAGCCCTGAGAATTCGGACAGTCAGCATCTCATTCTCATAGTCGTACTTGAGAGTGAAGTTAATTTTCCCACAGGTTTTTGCTGCCTCTTTTTTGGGGTCCTCAGAGTCGACAGATTTTTGCTTATAGAGTTCAGGCTTAATGCGACCGATGCTGGTCGGCTGCTCAGCCACAGCTGGTGGGTCCATGCCGTAGTCCATGCTGGATACATGCATTTGCCGAGGAAGGTGCCTTTTGAAGGAGATGTGCCTGCAAGAGGAAGACATGACAGCTGTATGGTTTTCCAAGGACATAGCTCTCCTTTTTCTTGCCTGGACTACTAATGCTAGGAAAGCAGGGAGAGCCCGAGGACGAGTGCAATAGGTGCTCCTGACCTCAGTACAGAAACCACATACATTATGGAAATGAACACTGAAGGGAACACCTCCGATGGCCAAAGGAACCGATCCAGCAGATTTCCTAACTTTCAGAGTATTTGCAGCAAGCCGCATTTTCTTCACCTTTTACACAAGTAACAGCCCACAGCTAAATATATGAGATCCAACAACTCCTTAACCAAGCCATAGGTAACCCAGTGCAAGACTCTTTCCCACCCTCAGTCCTTTCACTTCCAAGATACTGGCACTAAGTTTCCCTCAGGCAAAAAAAACCTTTTAAAGTGAGAGAACCACGGCCAGCTCAGAATATTAGGTTTTATTCTGGGTAGTGTTGCTTCCAAACTTCTCCAACAGACCCTCATCAGAAACCAACAGATAATTCTTTACAGGGAGGAATGCACAGCCTCATCTGGAAGCTGTCTCTTGCCTTGAGCTCCCCTTCAGCACAAGAGAACCTAAGCAAAGCATAAAAGCTTTCTGTGGACTCATGGCATTATTTTAGATTACCTGGTGTTTACAAGAGTAGTTTATGGATTTATTTAACCATACTAAGAACTTGCACAGCCAGAGCATTAGCTTTTGGTGATATGTGGTGCTCGGAGACCTCACATCTCAGCAGGTTCCTCAAAGTCATTTTGGCCTGGGCTAGGCTGGGCTGTAAGCCAGAGAACCCAAACTGCTGAGGTTGTTCCCCAGTGTCCCTGGGTCTGGCTGCCTGCCTGTGATTCATGCTGGGCTCTTTTGCTTGAGGAAGGTACAACCGAGTCCCACTTTGTTTATCCTAATTCAGACAGGCTGAGCTTTTACTTTCTCCTCCATTGGAAAGGTGCAATAAAAGCAGAATGAGCGTGTGCATGACAGAGAGGCAATCAACTGTCCAAAAAGCAGTGCAGTTAAATAAAAGAGTATGTGGCACAATTGCAGGTGGCACCATGTTGATTTTAACTCTAGCTTTTTCATACAGAAGGCTGTGATCGGTGCCTTATTAATTCTGCAATACTGCAGCCAATTTTCTGAGCAATGTCTGGTTTCACAGTTGCACTCTCGCACACATCGTGGGCACGGCCAACAAAGCAAGCAGAAGTGCTGGGGCACGGCCAGGACCCTGCAATCACCCTTTCCTGTCCCAGTTTCACAGCCTTCTGTGTCAAGGAAGAGGTACCGTATTTCTCAGTATTCTTGCCGAGACGGTGTCCCCAGGTTCATACAGCCTTATCCCGATTTACTGAGTGTGATGTTGCCATCTCTGCCCTGGCTGAGACAGAGATACGCACTGCACACAAGCACTGAGTGCAGTTAGTTCTGAGCTTGAGCAGAGTGATATGTCAATTCTGCTTATCTAATTGTTTCTGCTAGGAGCCACAACAAAAAGAGAAAGCAAAAAGGGCTAATTCTGTCTGACAGCATACCATCACCGATACTTCAGCCTGCCTCTCATGCTGGAACAAAATTAAAGTGGTCGAAGCATACTGATGACTTGACACAATGAGGTCAAGACACAGTAACAGGGCTTGAATGCTTGATTTTTTAAAAAGGGCCTACGCTAAGCCAGTCTTAACACATTAATTGGTTAATGAACAATCTTGGGGGCCTGGGCTAGATGACCTTAAAAGGTCCCTTTCAAGCCAAAGATTCTATGATTCTATGAATCTTTGGAAAGCAATCCAGCACGTAGTGGGGAGTGCTTTCTTTAGCCTCCCTGAAGGTATCTGAACCTCAGGCTCCATTAAACGCTTCTCCCATCCTGTCAGCTGCCCCAAGGCGCAGCATCCCTGCAGAGCACCGCGTCCCACTCACCTGGTGGAAGATGCAGGCTCCGTTGTTTGCCTCTGGATCCGTGTGCGCCGCATGATGTGGTCTTTCATGGACATCTGGACTTCTGCGGGGATGTCTGGAGATGTGTGGCTGATCTTCACTGCTGCCTCCAGGAAACTTATGGCACCCATGTCCTTGAGCTTGTCTGCCATGTTCTCCTTATTGCAGCCTGCCTCGCTCTGCAAGACGGCCAGGTTAGAAGAAATGGCCTTGTTTCTCCAGGGAACCCAGCACAGCTTCCAAAAGAGAAACAGAAAAACTGCCACCAGGGCCAGTCCGCACACAACAACTATCACTGCAAGGAGGCTGACGGAGAGCTCTAGAGTGGGAGAGAAGGCAACACCAACAGGGAGAGGGGAGGAAGAGGAAAGGAGAAAAAAAAAAGAAAAGAGAAGAAAAGAAAGATGGTGAGAACGCAGTAAGTAAAGGGCAGAAATGGTCCAAGCTGACTTATATCACGACTAACGGAGAGCTCATAGCAGGTTCTGCAACCAAGAGTCAAACCCGAGTGAGCATCCCCTGACAGATTAAGGACCGCTTCCTGCCCCAGACACGTCTGGGGAGAAATGGGTGTCTCCAGATGGCCGGAGCTATGAAGTTTTATATTGTGATGCTTAGACTGGCTATAAGATACTGTCCTGGTTTCGGCTAGGATAGAGTTAATTTTCTTCCTAGTAGCTGGTATAGTGCTGTGTTCTGGATTTAGTATGAGAATAACGTTGGTAACACACTGATGTTTTAGTTGTTGCTAAGTAGGGCTTATACTAAGTCAAGGACTTTTCAGCCGCTCATGCTCTGCCAGTGAGGGGGTGCATGGGAAGCTGGGACGTGGTCAGCCAGGACAGCTGACCCGGGCTGGCCAAAGGGATATTCCATACCATATAACGTCATGCTCGGTATATAAACTTGGGGGAGTTGGCGGAGAGGTGGTGACCACGGCTTGGGAACCAGCTGGGCATCGGTCAGCAGGTGGTGGGCAATTGTATTGTGCCTCACTTGGTTTGTATATTCTTTTACCAATATTATTATTAGTAGTAGCATTTTCTCTTCCCTTGCTGTCCTATTCAACTGTCTTTATCTCAACCTATGTGTTTTACCTTTTTTTTTTTGATTCTCCTCCCCATCCCAGGCGGGGGTGGGGGGCGGGGAGGAGTGAGCAAGCGGCTGCATGATGCTTAGTTGCTTTCTGGGGTTCAATCACGACAAATATCATCCTTGGTTTGTTTTGTGGCATTGGCAAACTGCTGAGTCTGAAATTGAGCAGAATTGCAGAACTGCATGATAGAAACAAGCTCCAGTGCTGTGCCGGCAGAAACTGCCTTTTTGCCTCATACCACAGATGTTCAGACACCACATTAAAAAAATCTATCATCTATCATGATCCTGGAAGCAGATTCTTGTTGTACTATCAACGCTCACATCTTGTCCAGATGTGCCCAGAGGGAATAAAAAGTAAATATCAGTACAAAAAAAAAAAAAAAAAATCACAAGCTGCTCATGCAGTGAAACTAAACATAGAAGGAGGCTATACAGAAAGTACTACACATTATTCCTTATTCTGAATAATGCAGAAGCTGTGTATGTTCTCTGACTCTCTGAGTCGCTTTTACCTCATACGCTATGTATTTCATCATTTCAATCTTTTTCTGGAGAGGAAAGAGCTTCCATACTTATGTCTGAAGAATCAGGAAAAAAGGAAGATATAGATACAGACATAGATACAAATGTAGATGTAGATGCGATCTAGGCTGTGAAATGATTCACAACACTTCAAAAAGAGAAAACATCAGCTATTTTCAGTTCACTTCATATAATGTATTAATTCCCACCCGGACCAAAATTCCAAGAGTTCAGAATCACAAAGAATACCCGTCCCTGAAGATGAAGAAAAGTTTTGCTCTGGACTTAAGTCTGCAGTGTCAGGACTATGGATGATTCAGTGGCAGATTGCTATGAGTTCACGGACAACTCCTTAATTGCCTGCGGTGTTATTTGTAGTGACCAGTAAAGCCATACTCTTTAAATTACCTAAGTGCAAGTCAAGACAGAAAGACACGCCAAAAAAAATTAAACACTCCAAAAGTTTATACAGAATAACCATTTCCTCTTACTCACCTCTATTTATGTGTATGCTTGGACTGTAAATGTTTTGCGTTGCCGCATGAAACAGACAGCAGATACTTAATTCACTACCTGAGACCCGAGCTGGTTAAGACTGACGTTCACGGCTGCAGATATGAGTATTTGAGTTTTGTCCGTCTGAGCTGACAGCACCTCTTTAGATCATGTCTAAATGTACTTAAGGCAAACACCTTCTCACCTCCATGAGCTCTAAGAAATGCTAGACTCACTCAAAAACTTTATTTAAAACAATCATCTCCCACAAAATCCGTCCTTACCAGGCAGTCTGGCTCTCAGAAGATAAACTGGGAAACTCACATCTCTGCTTCATCATAGCTACTGTATAAATGTGATCCCTGATACATGCTTTACCTTAAATAGAACCTGTAAGAAGACCTTCTGTTTCCTTTAGTCGTACAGTTTAGTTTTGTACAGACATTTAATGTTGTTTAAGGCTGAGAAAATCTATGAAATATGAGGAAAGATTAAATTTATATACTTTCAAAATAGCTGAATTTAAAAATTATTTTAAAAAAAGGAAAACCAAAACCAAACAAACAAAACCACAAAAAAAAACCCCAACCGCCATTGATGAAGCATAACTGCAGAGTATTCTGGAACCCTTTCATATCATCAAACTTTGCTAACATGCTATCTGGGAATACCACAGCTACTATATATTTAGGATTTTCACAGCAGTTCTTATAAGTGAAAACTCAGGGAAGCATCAGACACAAAATGCAACATCTACACGGGAACAAGGAAGTTCTGCTGAACACCTAGGAAACCATCTGTTGTTTCAACTATCCCAGAGGAAATGCACTGGTTTTCCACAAAGCTACCTAGCTTAGCAAAGCTGCCTGACTCGAAAGGAAGGGCTGGAAGTTGCCAGCAGGTGCAGATGGAAAGAATAAATGCCATCCAGAAGTTTTTGCGACTTTTCCTCTCCCTCACCAGCCTCCTGTACAGGTCAGACTGCACCATTTATTCTCTGCTGTAGCTCCAAGGTGGAAATACAGATCACTACTGGGGTGAACAAACAGGGCCTGTCTTATTCAATAATAAATAGGATTGTACAAGTCAGCAGAGGAGCTTCCTTAGAGACTTGGCTAAATATATTTTCACCAAAGCAGAGTGCAGAGGTACCACCTTCCTATACTTTGAGTTAAGTCTTGGAATTGTGCCCATGAAACTCGGTGTCAAACAGTTTCATAAGAAAACTTAAGAACCTGGACTTTTTGCAAATATGTCTATGCCGTTACAAAGGAAATAGTTACAATGACGAATCTATCACTGCTGGGAGTTATGTGATAGAAAAGTTTCTGTTGAGATACTTCTGCCCATTCCAAGAAGTTACATAGCATGCATGACTCTGCCAGCACACCAGACTCATTAATGGAAAACATCAGAAATAATCAGTTATCCCTTCTGAAAACCTGTTGCCAGCTTGAGAAAGATCTTAGTTCATGACATTTCTTGCTGAGCTGGCATTCATAACGTATTTGACAGGATTCACAGATATTTATGCATGACCTCCTACTCTTTCCTCTGACAGCTCACATAAAACACAAGTAGACGGGATCAGGATTTTACAGACATTTTTTAAACATCTGCCTGAGAAGAACTGGTTTTGCCTGAAGATGACATTGAATTCCCCAAGACTTTTTCATGACTTATTAAACTTAAATATCAGTTGGACAGAGTTGACCTTAATTGATTTAATGAGCTTTCTCTTACGAATTTGAAAATACCAGTTACTTTAAAAAAATACCCAGTATTCAAAATGTTATGCTTTAAATGTCCTTTAACTTACAAGAAGCTGTGAAAGCAAGATAATTCCTTACCTCACAGAAAATGCCCCAGGGCCAGAGGTTGCTTGGGTATTCCTGGTGTGAATGGAGGTAAGGCCTTTTCCCCCAAAGATCTCTCCGAAGACGGAACAGACCAAAAGTGCACCTCAGCCCAGAGGAAAACTAGCGCGCTTGTTTATATTATGCCACCCTGCGCAACGTTCGGAGAGAAGGCTTCCTGAGCGGAAGGTAAAGAGGGACGTGTCTGCGTCCGGCTTGAAGGAAGGGCCCCGTCTGGCGCAGCGCGGCACAGGAATAGCTCAGCCGCCGCTGCACCCAGTGTTTCCCGTGCCACAGCCAGCTCCCTGGAGCTGCCGACCGCGCACGGCATCGCTGTCCTCAGCAAGGGACAGGGGCACCTTATCCCTCGGAGAAGAGGAAAATGCAACAAGAACTGTTTCTATTCTATTCCCCTCTAAAAAACTAACAGTGAGCTATTTGTCACTTCGTTAACAGATAAGTAGGGCCATGGAAGTGCAGAGCGCCTTCAGCTGCTCCTCGCCCTGGTCTTGTCCAAGTCGGTGCTGGTACCTCATCCTAGCCCAGCTCACTTGAGAGAGACAGCAGAATTGCCATGGTGGAAAATGGCTTTTATTACAACCTGTAATTGAAAAGATAAAGCTTAAAAGGAGGAGGTGGCCAATACAAATTAACATGGCTGTTTTCCAGTCTCGCTCCCCCCTAGGGGCAAGAGCTGCCTCCCAGAGCCCTCAGCTGGAAACTGCTTTTGGCTACAGAGCAGCAACGATGAAGCTCTCGCATGACTAACGAGGAGGGAGGGGAGAACAAGCAGCAGGAAAGACGTGGACACAGACGTGAGCATTTACCCGCACGAGCTCATACGCTCAGGATAAATCACCGAGCTGTTACTTACCCAGTGGAACAGAGGCAGTCCCTTCAGGGATGGTCTGCCTCACTTACGGAGGTCTTTTTGAGGCACAGGCTTAGCATGGTGTGTAAAGCAAAGGAGAAATTCTGAATTTGTGACCCCCTACATTTCCATGTGCACCTGAACTCCCTGGAGAACGGAGGCTGTCCCAACCCCTACAGACACAAAGCACTATTACATCCCACTCAATGCCCCAGAAGTGACCACTGACAGCCACCACCAGCAGTCCTGGTCCTTCACTGAAAAGGCTCCTCTGAGACAAGAATGACCTTTTGATGAGTTGTGCCACAGATTCCCCATCAGAACAGCTGACAGAAACAAGAGGTTTCTAACCAGAAAGCCACTTGCCACCAGGACAGACACAAGCACATCCACGGGAAGACCCATGGATCATGGTCTTTGCTCCGCTTTCCTTTAGTGAACAGGAGAAAGCAAGCCATACATGTCCTCCTTTTTCTTGAAGAAAAAAGAAAAAAAAAAGCCATACCTGAGAGGCTACTGATAAATGATCACTCATCACCACTTCAGCATTAGGAGGTACCGTTAAACATCAAAATCGAGTCAATGGAGACGCTGATCTCCACCCCTGCAGCCTGTCATAAGGGAAAATGATGCATCCAAGTCTTCAGAGACAGCACAAACAGCTTAGACCGACTTGTTACAAAAACATCATTGCGCTTTGGTTTTCTTGCAGCAGGGGCAGTTACGTGTCTATGAAGGAAACAGGGATGAGGGTGGTGAGAAGCCGGCTGGGTGACGCTCGGGAGCTGTGCGGCTCAGCACTGTGCCTCTCCTGCGGTAAAGGGCAGCAGGGCAGCATGGGCAGCACGGGCAGCAGGGCAGCAGGGCAGCACGGGCAGCATGGGCA